CGGAGCCCAGGGACGCGGCCGCCTGCACGCCCCGAGGCGGACCCCGGCTCTGACTCCTCCGCTGGCCGCGGGCTTCCCGACTGGGAGGCGGCGCGAGGAGGGAGCGCGGCGGCTCCGCGTCTCCCAGAGCCATGGGCAGCGAGGCGAGCTTGGAAGGGGAAGGGGTCTCCGAAGGGCTGGCGGCGGCCGCACCGGCCGGAGGAGGGACTAGAGGGGCGGGGAGTCCCTCGCACACCGTGATCCTGGCCTGCATGGAGGCGGATTTGAGCCAGCTGAGCAAAGAGGAGAGGAGACAGAACGCCGCTGTCATGTCAAAGGCGCAGGGGCTGCCCGAGGGAAGCGTCGCCTTCCATGTACAGGAAACAAGAGTTGGATAGTAGTCATTCTCCAAAGCAATCAGGAAGACCCCCAGACCCTGGGCGTCCAGCTCAGCCTGGTCTCAGTAAAAGTAGAACTACAGATACTTTCAGGCCAGACAGAAATTGCCTGGGAGGAGTCCTTCCACCATTAGCTTGAAAGAATCAAAGTACAGAACTGATTTTAAGGAAGAGCACAAGTCTAGTTTGATGCCTGGCTTCCTCTCAGAGGTTAACCCTTTAAGTGCTGTCTCCTCGGTTGTAAATAAATTCAACTCTTTTGATTTGATATCAGACTCTGAGACATCCCAGGAAGAAACCACCAAGAAACAAAATGTAGTTCAGAAGGAGCAAGGAAAACCTGAGGGAATCACAAGACCTCCTTCACAACAGTCACCCAAGCCAGTTCCTAAACAGCAAGGACCTGATACGGATCCACTTCAGCAGGATGGCCCTCCCAAATCGGTATCTTATCAGCAACCAGAAAAAAATTAAATCACAACCTCAAGGTACAGGAAAGCCAATTCAGGGTCCTGCCCAGACTCCTCAGACAGACCAGGCAAAATTGTCACTTCAACGAGATGCATCCAGGCCTCAGACTAAACAGGCAGACATAGTAAGGGGAGAATCAGTTAAACCCTCACTGCAAAGCCCATCCAAACCACCTATTCAGCAACCAAGTCCTAGAAAACCTCCAGCACAGCAGCCTGGGCCTGAAAAATCACAGTCTGGGCCTGCAAAGCCTCCAGCTCAGCCCCCAGGGCTAACAAAGCCACTGGCTCAACAACCAGGGACAGTGAAACCCGCAGTTCAGCCACCAGGAACAACAAAGCCTCCGGCTCAGCCCCTTGGTCCTTCTAAACCTCCAGCTCAGCAGACTAGGTCAGAGAAACCTTCATTGGAGCAACCTGGGCCAAAGGCTCTAGCTCAGCCTCCTGGAGTTGGAAAGACTCCAGCTCAGCAGCCAGGGCCAGCAAAGCCTCCAACCCAGCAGGTGGGGACACCAAAAGCTGTAGCTCAACAACCTGGGCTACAGTCTCCAGCTAAGGCACCTGGGCCTGCAAAGACTCCAGTACAGCAGCCTGGGCCAGGAAAGACGCCAGCTCAACAGGCAGGACCAGCAAAGCCTTCTGCCCAGCAGACTGGCCCAACAAAGCCACCTTCACAACTTCCTGGCCCAGCAAAGCCCCCACCTCAACAGCCTGGCTCAGCAAAGCCCCTGCCTCAACAGCCTGGCTCAGCAAAACTCCCATCTCAACAGCCCAGCTCAGCAAAACCCTCAGCTCAACAACCGAGCCCAGCAAAGCCCTCGGCTCAGCAATCTACAAAACCAGTAAGCCAAACAGGATCTGCAAAACCTCTGCCGCCACCAACAATGTCTCCATCTGCAAAACAGCCTCCATCACAAGGCCTCCCTAAAACCATCTGTCCTCTTTGCAATACCACTGAAATTCTGTTGCATGTTCCAGAAAAGGCCAATTTTAACAAATGCAGTGAGTGTCAAACCACTGTCTGTAGCCTCTTTGGATTTAATCCCAATCCTCATTTAACGGAGTTTGTAAAAGAGTGGCTCTGTTTGAACTGTCAGATGAAAAGAGCTCTAGGCGGGGATCTGGCTCCAGTTCCATCATCACCCCATCCCAAACCGAAGACTGCACCTGTTACTCCGACATCAGCAGTGAGCAAATCATCCCCACAGTCACAGCAGACTTCCCCAAAGAAGGATGCTGCCCCAAAACAGGATGTCTCCAAGGCACCTGAGCCTAAAAAGCCACCACCACTAGTGAAACAGCCAACCCTTCATGGCTCTCCTTCAGCCAAGGCCAAGCAGCCTCCTGAGGCAGATTCTTCGCCTAAGCCAGCCTCTCCCGAAGAACCTTCTGTCCCATCTGAGCAGGACAAGGCCCCTGTCGCTGATGATAAACCAAAGCAGCCCAAGATGGTAAAGCCATCCACAGACCTTGTATCTTCATCATCAGCAACAGCAAAACCTGATATTCCAAGCTCCAAAGTACAGTCACAAGCTGAAGAGAAAACAACTCCTCCTCTAAAAACAGACTCTGCCAAACCCTCACAAAGTTTTCCACAAACAGGGGAAAAAGTCACCCCAGTTGACTCTAAAGCCATAACTCGACCTGCATCAGATTCAAAAATTATTTCACATCCTAGGCCTAGTTCAGAGAGCAAAGGTCAAAAACAAGTTGACCCAGTTCAAAAGAAGGAAGAACCCAAGAAAGCACAAACCAAAATAACTCCTAAACCAGATGCCAAGCAAATGCCAAAAGGGTCACCAACACCCCCTGGCCCGCGACCAACCGCTGGCCAAACTGTCCCCACACCTCAACATCCCCCAAAGCCTCAGGAGCAATCAAGACATTTCAATCTGAATCTGGGAAGTATTACTGATGCCCCCAAATCACAGCCTACAACTCCTCAAGAGACCATGACTGGGAAACTCTTTGGGTTTGGAGCATCAATCTTCAGCCAGGCATCAAATTTAATTTCTACTGCAGGCCAACCTGGACCTCATTCACAAAGTGGACCAGGGGCCCCAACGAAACAAGCCCCTGTCCCTTCACAGCCACCTACTTCGCAAGGGTCACCCAAATCCACAGGTCAAGCACCACCAGCACCTGCAAAGAATATACCTGTGAAAAAGGAAACAAAAGCCCCAGCAGCTGAAAAATTAGAGCCCAAAGCTGAACAAGCTCCAACAGTAAAACGAACAGAAACAGAAAAAAAGCCACCACCTGTTAAGGATAGCAAATCTTTAACAGCTGAGCCTCAAAAGGCTGTCCTTCCCACAAAACTGGAGATATCTCCCAAACCAGAATCAACCTGTCCTCTCTGCAAAACTGAACTCAACATAGGTTCTACAGATCCTCCTAACTTCAATACTTGCACTGAATGCAAGAATCAAGTGTGTAATCTCTGTGGATTTAACCCTACACCACATTTGACTGAGGTAAGCAATACATGTATTACATATGGATGTGAGTCTATGCATTTATTTTGAAATGTTTGGGTGCCAAATATCTGAGCAAAAAATGCATTTCTAGTGAAGAAACTAAATTGATATCTTAGAAGTTTTAATTACCTACTACCAGCTTACCATCTTACTAAGAGTTCATGTTATTTGTACTTTCCTGGGTTAATGTACCGTAAGTAAGAAGATGAAGTAAGCTAAGTTAAATGAATATCTTAATTATTAAATTAATATAACAATGATTCAATCATTCATGAAATAAAGACCCATAGCTTTGAGTTGGTTTTCACATGTAAAACTCCAAATAAAGGTTTTAATGTATTATTCCCATCTCTAATCCTTCCAGTCTCTGCAATACATTAATAAAAGAAGTTTGGTTGAAAAAAAATTAAATAATAAAGATAGTATAACTTAACAGAAATTCCTTCTGAGGGATTATTAACACCCTAAGTAATAGCCCTATTGAAATGGTTTTAATGCTATCAGCAAAGAATAACATTTGCAAAGAGAACTGAAAAGGTTATATTTTAGGTTTAGGAGTACTGGTTAACATTACTAAATAAAGTGAAATGGATCTCTACTGAATTGATAATTTTATGTTTATCGGCATCTGAATAGTCTTAAATTTATCTGAATTACCTTGTACTGCTATAGATCCTTACCATAATATATTGCTGAAATAGCCTTCAAAATAGTCTGTTTGATGCCTCTTTCATTTGTCTTGTTAGTTTTATGTTTGTGCAGGTATGCAAATCTAGAATTTGAGATATGTGAAACCCTTTTGCCTTTTCTGTTCTTCTCAATTGTACTTGAAATTTCTGAGCCCACGAGGAAAACATCTGAAAAAAAATATAGAGAATATTTTTAAATCACTGAATTTGAGGGAAACTCATAAATCATACAGTCCAGCATATTTAGAGCTCCCAAATCTTCTTTTTTAAAAAATGCCTGTCACCTCTTCTAATTTATAAGGCATATTGTGCAGAAGTGGCTGCAAAAAATGAGCAGGGCTACATTTGGGAATAGGCTGAATATATATCTAAACAGTGTGATGTCTAAACAGAGATGTGCCAGAAAGAGCCCCTACCACCCTAATATTTCTCTCATTGCCTATCATAAAATCTATAATTTCTCATTTATAGAATTATCCTGTTTGGATTTAAAGTCTTATTGTCCATAAAAATTAAGCCTTTTGAAATTGAAAAGTAGGCCAAGAGCAGTAATTCTCACATGTATAATCCAAATGCTTTGGGAAGCTGAGGTGGGAATATCAATTGATCCCAGAAGTGAAAGATTAGCAGGGCAAGATAGCAAGCCCCTGTCACTATATAAAATGTATTAAAAATTATCAAGACACTGTGGAACACTTCAGTAGCCCCAGCTACTCTGGAAGCTGAGATGGGAGAACCCCTTGAGCCCAGAAGTTCAAGGCGGCAACAATATATGATCTTGCCACTGAACTCTAGCCTAGATGACAAAGGAATACTTGGTCTCTGAAAATAAAAAAATAAAATTAAAATGTGTCAATTAACAACATAGATATCAGTTGATCACTAGATCAGTTTGAGAAAAAAAAAATTGGGGTCCGTAATCAACGGTATTTGGGCAGAAATGCCAGGGATATAAAAAGAGAGGAAAGAACAGGGTTTCAAGACAAACTTCACTTACTCTTTGCTCAAAGCTAAAAAGAAAAAGATTACTGGCCGCAGGAATTAAAGAAGTTGCTGCAAAAATGTATCATTTTTATTGATCAGCAAGCATTTCCCAGCCAGTTTCTCCAGATAAGGGCTTCTGAAATTTTAGTGTGACTAAAAGTTAACTATACATCTTGTTATTAAAGCTAATTTTCTGTTGTTGTCCCCATGTAATCATGTGCCAAGGTTATGTTAGCATAAAAAATTCTAGCTATACATGGGTGATCTGGGATAAGCCCAGGAATCTATGAATAAGGAGTTCCTCAGTTGGTTATGATGCAACTCAGCTCCAGAGCACGTTTTAGCCACTTTCAGCCTAGAGCCAATCACCTGATTGCTCTTGAAATAGCTTACAATCTAGAATGGGGAGAGAAAATATACATAATTAAACATAAGGCTGTGTGTGACCTGGGTTATGGAGATGAAGGGGGAAATATACAGTTTTGAAAATCAAGTAAAGCCAGGTATAAAAGATAACTTGAGTAATGCGTTACTGAAAAAATAGATGGTATAAAAAATGCAGCCAATATCAGAAAAATACAAAGTTGGCAACTGTTTTTCTAAGTTTCATTATGTACCCCCATGTCTGGCTATCCAGGATCCTCATGCTTTCTCCTGATGACAGAATCCCATAAGCCTGTCCTTGTTTTGAATATTTCCATTTCCTATCCCTTTTCTCACTCTTAAAAACTTACCTCATCTTATGTCCCTTCAGAAATGGGTTGGTTGAATATCTAATTTGATAAAGTAATGATAATAGAATGTTGTCTTAAAAATATTTCCAGTGACTTTGCTTATAGAAATGACTAACATGGACATCCTAGCAAGCTAGAGATAGGATGAATAATGCTTCTGGTCAAATGAATTATCAATGTCCCTTAATTCATATTGAAGCTAATGATCTTACAAAAATATTCACTGTTAACTGAAGTGATTAATATTGTTCAGCAAGGAACTTAAACAAATTTACAAGAAAAAACAAATGGCCCCACTAAAAAGTGGTCAAAGGACATGAACAGACACTTCTCTAAAGAAGACACTCATGAGGCCAACAAAGGTGAAAAAAGCTCAACATCACTGACCATTACAGAAACGCAAATCAAAACCACAGTGAGGTACCATCTCATACCAATCAGAATGGTGATTATTGAAAAGTCAAGAAACAAAAGATGCTAGTGAAGCTGTGGAGAAATAGAAATGCTTTTACACTGTTGGTGGGAATGTAAATTTGGTCAACCATTGTGAAAGACGGTGTGACAATTCCTCAAAGACCTAGAACCAGAAATACCATTTGACCCAGCAATCCCACTACAGAGCATATACCCAAATGAATACAAATCATTCTGTTGTAAAGATACATGCATGCATATGTTCATTGCAGCACTATTCACAACAGCAAAAATATGGTAAAATGGATAAAGAAATTGTCTTATATATATACCATGGAATACAATGCAGCCATAAAAAGGAATGTGATCATATTCTCTGCGGGTCATGGATGGAGATGGAAGCCATTATCCCCAGCAAACTAACACAGGAGTAGAAAAACAAACACCTCATGTTTTCACTTACAAGTGGGAGCTGAACAATGAGAACACATGGACACAGGGAGGGGAACAACACATACTGGAGCCTGTTGGGGTTGGCAAGGGGAGGGATAGCATTGAATAGCTAATGCATACTGGGCTCATCATCATGAAGAAAAAACTTGAATAAACTGAAAGTCAGTAACTCTTCTTTGATGCATTAGAGAATTTAGGTCACCAGGCAAATCAGTGCTATAGAATTGGAAATATAGGTGAATACAAAAAATCACAGATTACCAGAGCAGAGACTCAGAAGTAGAAGCCTACCACTGAAACCAGAGTATAAACACTTAAAATGTAATTGACAAATTGCTGGAGGCTGAGTCTTGACACATTTGAGATTTTAAAATTGCAGAGTCCCAGTTTTAGTGGTAGCTCCTACACCTTCCTGAATTTTACCTCTAGGATCCCCACCAGGTCTGGGTAGAGTGAACAATGAAGAAAAATTCCCTTTTGCCAGCAGGGAGAAAGAAAAATTGCCTTTTAAAAATATGCCTAGAGCATTCTGTTCTCCTTAACAACAACAACAAAATGCCCTCAAGGAAAACTATTTAACCGGAATCTAACCACATTGAGTTTATCCAGAGCATGAGCAAACTACAGGGAAAAATTACCCGGCTCCAGTCAACTTCTAAGCTAAATCAGAACATGGTAATCCGTACACGGTGTCTGCACATCCATCAGAAACTCCAGTCACTCCTAGCCTTCACGTTTTACCTTGTGGAGAGGGCAGGACGTAAGAAACAATTGATAAACCCTCAGCACCAAGGCTAACTAAAAGACAGAGACATTATTATAGGATTATATAATAGTTCTCCTTCCCACCTTACCACCACATCAGTAGGGTTCCTCTATTATAACTAAGAGGATTAGAACTGAAAGAATCACATGCCCAAAATCTTATTTAATCATTCTCTAGGAAAACCCAAAGACAAAGGGGGAGACAGACAGTAGGAAGGCAGAGGAAATGTTAGCAAGTGTAAGTTCTCCAACTTTATTCTTCTTTTGCAAGATTATTTTGGCTATTTGCATACCCAAACTATCCCCTATTAATTTGGGAATCGGTTATTCCATTTTAAATTTTAAAAAGTTGAATTTTAGTAAGGATTGCATTGAATCTGTAGATTTATTTGAGTAGTATTGGCCTCTTGCTAATATAAAGTCCGTGAGCATGGGATGTCGCTCATGTAACTACATCTTCTTTGATTTCTTTCAGCAATGTTGTATTTTTTCTGTAATCCAGTCTTTCACCTTCTTGTTTAAAGGTATTAGTATTTTATTTGTTTTTATGCGATTATAAATATAATTTTCTTAATTTGTTTCATGGGTGGCTTATTTCTGGTGTATAGAAATACAACTTATTTTTGTGCATTAATCTTGTACCCTACAACTTTGCTGAATTTGTTTTTTAGCAGTAATAGCTTTCTTGTGGATTCCTTTTGGTTTTCTACATATACCATTATGTCATGCGCAGAAAGAATTTTACTTCTTCCTCTTCAGTTAGAACGCCTTTTATTATTATTTTTTCTTTCATAATTCTTGGGCTAGAACTTCCAATACAATGTTGAATAGCAGTGGTTAAATAGGCAGCTTTGTCTTATTCCTAATATTAAGAGAAAATATATTTCAGCTTTTCACTATAGATATGGTGTCAGCCAGAGGTTTTCCTCAGTCTTTCAGGATAGCTCCAAAACTTGTTAAATGGGAGCTATACAAACATGATACGTTGTAGTTAAGTTATTTCCTACTTTATCTGTTATCAGGGACCAGGGTTATTCATTGGGAGTGTGGGCTGCTGTCTTAAGACTACCTATGAGCTGTGGACAGAGTAGGGCAAGGGAAAGTAAAATTGGCATAAAGCTTTCTTACTATTTTAAGTTTCTTTTTTCTTGATTCAGCATTCACTGTGTTGTGGTAAACCTTTGACTGTTTTCAAGAGTTCTGGTAAACTTGATTTTTACAATTTCTGCTTGTTTTGTTTTTCCTGTGGAGAGAAAGTAGTTTAGAGCTGCCCACTCTGCCATTAACTGATGTTACATTCTACAAGAGGGTTATTTTTTAATAAAAAAAAAATTGACAATATATTAAGGCTGAAGAAAAGAGTGAGCTGAGAGGTAAAAGTGATTACTTTTACCTCTTAACTCGATAGATCAAATTCTTATGGGAGATGACAGCTAAATGATAGATCTTTAGATTCATGTGTGATTTTGAATATTTTTTTAACTTAAAGAAATTAGACTAAAGCAAGAAGAACTACGGAACATTGCTAATCAGACATTATTATTAGTTTTTAAGTGTGCTCAGGGGAAAAGTTAAAGATTCAGGGAAATTCGTAATTCAATAAATGAAGATTGTTAAAAGATGGGAGTTTAGACTTAAAGCAACAATATATTTTATATAAAATATTTGAAAGTTGATTGAAATATTAGTTTATAGGCCTGGCGTGGTGGCTCAAGCCTGTAATCCCAGCACTTTGAGAGGCCGAGGCGGGTGGATCACGAGGTCAAGAGATCGAGACCATCCTGGTCAACAAGGTGAAACCTCATCTCTACTAAAAATACAAAAATTAGCTGGGCATGATGGTGCATGCCTGTAGTCCCAGCTACTCGGGAGGCTGAGGCCGGAGAATTGCTTGAACCCAGGAGGCAAAGGTTGCGGTGAGCCGAGATCGTGCCATTGCACTCCAGCCTGGGCAACAACAGCAAAACTCTGTCTCAAAAAAAGAGAAATATTATTTTATCATGTAAGAATGAAAAAGAAAAACAAAACAGGTACATTCCTTTTTGGAGAGAGTGTAGAATAAAGAATACACTCAAACACTTTTAGTGGAATATACATATTTGAAATAAATTGAGAAATTTTAATCTTAAAATACATATTCCCTTTGACACAGCAATTATATTCTATGTCTCTCTATTCTTTCAATAGTGAAAAAGGATGTATGTATAAGGGTGTTCATTCCAGCCTTGTTTGTGAAGCAACAATGTGACAAGTCTACTTAAAAGTCCAGTAATACGTGAACAAGTGAACACACTACCCACAAACCAGATGTTAATTGAATCATATACACTAAGTGCATGTTCATATGTATTTATATAAGCACAAAAAGTCTGAAAGGATCCAAACCAAACTTTTAATTTTCATTCACCTTCAAGGATGACCTGGGCGACTAGAACTTTCATTTTTTTAATACTTCAGATGTATCTATATACCATTCAAAGAAAAGCTTTAGACAAATTAAAGTTAGCAGAGTTTGAGCAAAGAATGAATTGCAAAACAGGAAAGCCTCAAACCAGTATAGGATTAGAGCAACTCTGGCACTGCCGCATGGTAAGAGGGGATTTATGGACAAAGAAAAAGAAAATAACATACAGAAAATAGAAGGCTGATACAGAAACAGCTGGGTTGGTTACAGCTTAGTGTTTGCCTCATTTGAATACTGTTTAAATAATTGGCTCCGTGTGATTTGCCCAAACTTGGTGATTGCTACAGGAGTACCTTATAGTCTGTTTATACATCCAGCTAGGTTACGGTTCACTGTGTATGGAGGAACCTTCAGGCCAAATTTAAAATATGTGAGGAAGAAACTTTAAGCTGAATGTAACAGTAATTTCAACTTTTGTACAATGATAGTGACTTACTGCTTAATTTTTAAAAATAATAGTTTATAATTTTAATTATGATTATAACAGTAAAGAACACAATATCATTGTTATCCATGACCAACTCTAAAAAGATATATTAATTGTCAACCTTTCTGATAAGAAGTATAATATGGCAGGTGTCTAACTTAAGCTTATATTCAGCAACCATGGCTAAAATTTGGACTTTTTTAAAAAGCTACGTAATTTCTATTTGGTGAAAAACACGCATCCTTTCCCTCCCTCTACTTTTTTTTTTCTTTTTTCCCTTACCCACAACTAGACTAAAATAATAAAGTTCATTTGGCATATAAGTAAGCTCCTTTTCAAGGCATCCCAGTTTTTAAATTCCATTTAAAAATCGCTTACTACTTTCTTAAATAAATATCCTGTAAGCCCGGCATGCGATTTTACTTCAACTGTGTTAACACATGATCTCTGACACTGATCATAACATCTACACCATCTTCTAACTATTTTTGGTAGTTTTTCCACGTGAACTGTAGAAGTGTGTGTACTCACTAAGAAATAAAACTTTTACTTCAGGAATCAACGATATCTGTATGATTTTGCTCCCTGTGTTCTGGTTCACAGCCTACCATTCACGCATTGACCTGTCAGTAGATAATGATTCCCTGAGCATTTTCTGATGATGTTATCCTACACCCAACTAATCTGTTTTTTTTTTTTTTTTTTTGTAGTAGTAGTAGTAGTTCTGTTGCATAGAAACAGTTAAAGTGGCTTACATCGCTTTCTGCAGTAAGAAGAGAATAAAATTTCTCTGAATTTCTTTAAGTATGATGTTCAGATCAAACTCTTTCTCTTCTTCAGCGTCCTTGTTGCCATCCTCAGTCAGTATGCATTACACATAGTACGAATCATTAAGAGTTTCCATTTTGTTTGTGCAGTTTCTGGCAATCAAGGACCAAACTGATTTCAGAGCCATTGATTGACGTAACTATAGACATTAAAATGAGTTGAAGATTTAAGTGTACTTTGTCTCCAAGTACTTAAATTACTGTTCAATTTTGATTAAAACTTCTAGTAGTTACAATAAAAATAAAGCAACTTAACTTAAATATGTACCAATTACCTCCCTGTTCAAGAAACTGCTCCAAACCCAGAAATCTCTTGTATTTAAATATTCTCATTTTAATGTGTTTGTACATATAAATCTTGTATTTACAGATAATTTCAGAAACACATGGTATGAATAGACAAATGAGCAGCTATTCCAGAAAGTATGTACAATTTATGTGTAGATAGGAAGTATTTTACAATACTTAATTCAGAAATCTGTATAGAAAATACTTATTTCAGAAATCTGTATAGAAAAATAGAGCCCTAACATCAAGCAACATTGTTCCATGGTAAGATTGGGAAATGTTGAAATAAGAATATGACATAAGATGCTATTAAAATAACCACAAAATTCCTACATATGCCACAACACCCCTATATTTCTTTAATGTAGGCATTCTTGACTTATACTTTTATATATAAGACTAGGCCTATCCTTGTCAGAGCTCAGATATTATTAGCTTGCTTCAGTGTGGCTTTTGCCATGCACATCGTTAAAGCAATATCACCTTTAGAAATGCATAAAGACACCAGAGTACAGGGTATTACTATTAGATAACTATAAACATGCACATATACCCTGTTCCGAAGCCAGGTGTAACTATGGTGTCCCAGCTATTGATATGCCTTGGACGCAAAAATGGCTACAAATTTTCTTTTTTGACTAAGTTGAGTGAATAGGTAAGCACTATGACAACCACACATTTTAAAAGAAGGAAACTTTTAGTATTTATAAATTAGATTTCTGTTTAAGACTATTCATGATAATCAGGTTATCGGCCTGATTTGTCATATCCCAAGTTCCATTCAAGTACTCAATAAAAGCACAAAAAAATACAAAAGAAAAGCAGTGAAAACCACAGATGTGAAACAACTCGGTCACTTGCCAGGACATGGGGAGGAACACTCACTAATACAATGGCGTAGTTAGACAGGGAGCCTGAGTGTATCGATGAAGAAACTTGGCCCCTTCTATATCACCTGCTCATAGGTTTATGGTAGCCATCTACTCTGACAGGTCCTAAAGCAGCCGGTACTGCCTCACTCTCATAAGCCCAAAGGTGGACTGTCTCTCTCTATCGTATTGGAAATAACAAGTCCTGGTATACAACATGGAGATGAGGGTCATAAAAGCAGAACATACTGGAAATTATAGTTTTCTATATACTGGATATAGTCAAATAACAATGATGTAGTACCTATGATAGAAATTTTTCTGGTAAGAAAAAAAAGCAAACAAGCAAATAAAAAGATCTGTACAGCCATGATAAAATAGTCCTTCCTTATGTTCAATGAAGCCATGCCTTCTGATAGCCTACTACTCCGTCACTTACTAGCTATGTGATCTTTACAAAGTTATTTATGCTTTCTGAGCCTCAGTTGCATTTTTAAGATACATATAAGAGGACTCATAGGCTTATATTAATAATGAGTAAAATGTATTAAAGTTCCTTGTGTAGAATTTGGTACATATTAGGTGTCCAATACATCCCAATCCATATTCTTTACCTTCTTGTAACATATTGACCATATTTGCAGCATCGTTATATACCCAGTATATGTTAGAACTACTTTCCTGGAACTATCATCTAATATTCCTACCATGAGAAATCTAGTTAAGGAAAAAATCAGATTTAAGAAACTGTTAATTCATATAGATGCTTCCTGAAACATCATTCACAGTAGTAAAAATGCAAGTATTTTAAGTATGTAAAAATAGACAAATCTGATGAAATAGCATAAGGCCATTAAAAGTACAATCATGGAAAGTTTTTGGTAGCATGGGAAAATGCTAAATTAAAAATGTTATGTGTTTGTGCATATAGTTAAAGATAAGGTATTGCACACTTAAAAATTTAAGAGGATAGATCTTATGCTAAGTATTCTTATCAGAAACAACAACAACAAAGGGACACAAGGAAACTTTAGGAATTGATGTATATGTTTATTACCTTGATTGAGGTGATGGTAACTAACTTGAATGTATACATATGTCCAAAGTGTATAAATTAATTATGAAGTGTTTGCTGTATACTCATTATACCTAAATAAAGCTTTAAAAAGACATTAAACACTTGAATAAAAAGAAAATTAACTTTAAAAATGTTATGGGTAAACTATGATAAACAGTTTATATAAGTAAAAAATTATATTGCAACAACTGGAAAAAAATATTAAAATGTTAATGTTTGTTTTGAGTGGTAGGAGATAGAGTCACTGTATTTAGGCGCAATTCTCTTCTGCGATGTTCACATTTTTGAAAAGACCTATCTATCTATCTCTATATATATATACACACACAAATTTTGTAATAAAATTTTTATTAAAATAAATATATAACAGTAACAACTATACATCTCATGTCATATGACTTTTCCTGAGTGTTACTCTAGACAAGTATATTAGTGGGGTAGGGCTGCCATAGGAAAGTACCATCAACTATACAACTTAAACCACAGAAATTTACTTTTTCACAGTCTTGTGGCCTAGAAATCTGAGTGCTGGTGTTGGCAAGGTTGGGCTTTGTCTGAGACCTTTCTTCTTGGCTTGAAGTATCCATCTTCTCCCTGTGTCTTTGCATGGTCTTCTCTCTGTACACAGTCATGTCTGTGTCTTAATTTCCTCTTTTTCCAAGGACACCAGTCACACTGGATTACGGTCCACCATAGTGACTACATTTTAACTTAATTATTTCTTTAAATATTCTCTCTTCAAATGCAGACACATTCTGAGTTACTGGAATTCAGGACTTCAGCTTATGAATTTGGGAGGACACAATTCAGCCCATAATACTCTACCTTCTGCCCCACCAAACGAATGTTCATCTCACATGTAAAATATATGCACCCCTTCAAAATAGCCCAAAACAAAAGTCTTAGCCCATTTCAGAATAAATGTAAGACCAAAATCTCATCTAAATATCTAAATCAGGAATGGGTGAGACGTTAAGTATGATTTATTCTGAGGGAAAATTTCTCTCTATCTGTGAACCCATGAAACAAGACAAACTATCAGTGTTCAAAATGCAATTGTGAGACAGTTATAGAATAATTATTGTCATTCCAACAGAGTGAAATTGTAAATAACAATGGGATCATGGGCCTCAAGCAAGTCCAAAACCTATCAGGGAAAATTCCATTAGGTTTTAAGGTTCAAGAATAATCCTCTTAGGCTTGATGCTCTGTTCTCTAGGCCCACCTGTGTGGCCCTGCCTTCCAGGTTCACCATGGCAACATCCCCATCCCCTGAATCTGTGCTCTCTGTGCCAGTCATGCCAACCTCTGAACTACCTTCAAGATTATCTTTCCCTTTTCTTGAAAGATAATTTATCTTCACAGTTGGATATCTCTACTGACGATCTTGTAGAATCACAGAAATCCAACAACCTTCCTTCATTTACTCTCATCTCTGTTCTGTTCAGTCCAAGTTGACAGCATTTGTGCTGGTATAAAATTCTCAAAAACATTGTTGAGCTCCCATGCAATTCACTAGGGTCCACGCTCTCAGTCAGAAGGATCCTCCAACAGATCTTTTTGGATAATCACATTTTGACTTCTGCTGAGATAGTTGATTGGACCCACGAGACACACTCATAAATCTTTTTAGCAAATGATTGTTTAGCCACAACCTTGTTGTTTTCTCCACAACATGCTTTCTCATTTTTTGAAATATTGGATAGGCTGACAACTCTGGAAATCTTCACATTCTGTTATTTTTTGTGTGTGCTTAACAATTCATATAAATATATATGAATGAAATATATATACAAATGAAATATATATATATATATGTAATGAAATATTATTCAGTCCTAAAAAGGAATGAAATCTTACCATTTGCCATGACTTGGATGAGACTGGAGGACGTTATCCTAAGTGAAATAAACCAGACACAAAAATATTGCATTACCTCACTTACATGTGGAGCCTAAAATAAAATCAAATATACACAGATAGAGAACAGTGGTTACTAGGGGCAAGGGAAAGGGAACTGGGGAATGTAGGTCAGAAGATATAAAGTAGCTTATATGTAGAATGAAAAAAATATAGAGGTCTAATGTGTAACATGAGAACTATAGATAATAAAATCATAATGTATCTTGAGTTCCTTCTAAATGAGAAGATTTTAGCTGCTCTAGCCATGAAAACACATACAATAAATAAGTTTTTTGGTGAGTTGCTTGGTGTGTTTATTTGATTCATCATAGTAACCTTTTTACTCTCTCTATAAATCCATTAACATTATGTTGTGTACCTTAAATATACACAATAAAATAATTTTGAATAATATAAACATTTATTTTTTAAAAATTCTTCAGTTGATGTCTCTTCTCTCACATTTTACCATAAGCAGAAAGAAGAAACCAGATTGCATCTTAAACATTTGCTTAGAAATCTCCTCAGCTAAATTTCGAATTTATTGCTTATAAGTTCTACTTTCCACAAAACACTAGAACACAATTTGGCCAAGATCTTTGCCACTGTATAACGAGGATCACCTTTCCTCTAGTTTCCAGTAACATGTTACACATTTTCATCTGAGACCTCATGAGAGGCACCTTTAATGTTCACATAACCATTATTTTCATGATGATATATGTATCCTCTAACACAATAAAAGCTTTCTCTATACCTCTCCTCTTTTCTTTCTGAGTCTTTGCAGGAATCACCTTTAACATTCATATTATTCTCACGTCTTCAGAGCAATCTAGGCTTTTTCTAACATGCACTTACAAACTCTTCTAGCCTCTATCCATTATGTTATTCCAAAGCCAAATCCATATTTTTATTTATTATTACAGTAGCACCCCACTTTCCAGTATCAAAATTTATATTAGCTTGATAGAGCAGCCAT